CACAGGCTTTTCAGAGCAGTTAAAGACCAACACCAGCCAAGAACTTTTTTTTTCTAGCTCTGGACAGATTAAAGTATCTGTAGGTTTTTTTTTTTTAATGCTATTTCCCCATCAAGGAGATTAAGTCTCATTTCCTCTTCTGTCAGTCAGCAAGTGAGCGGAATCTTCCCAAATGAGAAAAAGATAGCAATAAAAATGTCCCTCAATTCAAAACAACACAAAGATCACTAGACCAATTGGTATGAGTCCAAATCTTGGCTTACACAAAACAGCCCACACGTTTCAGGGGGCAAAACAGTTCCTCTTCATCAGGGCTTAGGTTCAGTCAGAACTAGAAAGGACCCTTAGATCAGGTTTATATTGTTCTGTGAGGTTGTGATTACTCCCAGCCAGCAGCACCAAAGGTATAGGTTGTGATAACAAGAGCCTGATTGGGAAATTCACATTTTTATAGAGTTGTCATGAGTAGCAAGAGGTAAAGAGAAAATCTTACTGGGAAACCTATCTCTAAGACATCCAAGATGGAAATTCCCTCTCATTTCCTGTTATGCTTCCAGGACAGGAAATGAAGGGAAATATCCCAAGCAGGACCTAGGTAGACATAGGTAGGATTTAACTTTTCGCTACCCCAAAATAAAAAAAAAAAAAATGGCTTTATACATACTTTATGGTCAGTTTGAGATCAGTTTTTGCTTTGTTTTTTATTCCTACCTACATGCCAATAGAAATGGGAAATGCATGCAAGTGGTCTCTACATCTGAAACTCTCATGTACACTAGTCCTTAGTACACCAGTTTCATTCACCGAAGCAGATGTACAGACATTTATTAAACAGTGCAAAAAGTAAAACACGGCAACCTATGACAATCAGAACTCAAATACAGACCAATACAGGGTATATTGACAGATTTCTATGAATGTTGCCCACTTTTCTTCTTGCATAGTTTGCTTTAAAGTAAATGTTACCTAAGAGACACATGGGGGCTACCACTTCTGGCCACTTTTTGAAGATGCTTGTTATCTATCTACATATACTCACCGGCCACTTTATTAGGTACACCTGTTCAATTGCTTGGTAGCAAAAATTACTAATCAGCCAATCACATGGCAGCAACTCACTGCATTTAGGCATCTAGATGTGGTGAAGACGAGTTACTGAAGTTCAAACCGAGCATTAGATTGGTGAAGAAAGGGGATTTAAGTGACTTTGAACGTGGCCAGACGGACTGGTCTGAATATTCCAAAAACTGCTGACCTACTGAGATTTTCACGCACAACCATCTCTAGGGCTTACATAGAATATCCAGTGAGCAGCAATTGTGTGGACAAAAATGCCTTGTTGATGTCAGAGGAGAACGGGCAGCCTGGTTTGAGAGGATAGAAAGGCAACAGTAACTCAAATAACCACTCCAACCAAGGTATGCAGAATACCATCTCTTGTATCAACAGTTCAGGCTGGTGGTGTTGGTGTACTGGTGTGAGAGATTTTCTTGGCGCTAGCAAGGTGTACCTAATAAAGTGGCTGGTGAGTGTTTATCTAGTGGACTGCTAGATTGTGTAGCTCCACTCCATGAAGAATACATACAGTACATGCACTATATTTGGTGTTATGCTTTTCCTTGTTTATCAAGGTTTATTCTTACAGCCACCAATGTTGGGAAAACAACATCACTATCACGGACCACCAATGTAGAGATTTTTGCTGCTACTTACGCAAGTGAAGGTGGTTATTATTGCTGCTAATAATACCAATGCTGGTGCTTCTTTAACTCCCAACGCTAGAAACCATACACTGTGACCCATTTAATAGGCTACGCCTCTAGGTGTCTGGGGCACTGCATTTTTCTTCTTGATATCTTCAAGGAATCTGTCCTATTTTAAAATACTGGTAACTAGGCAGGAGATAGCATCTGAGCTTGTGCAAGTAGGCCAGACTGATATGCTAAGTTCAGTTTCTGTATAAAGATGCAACAATGCTTACAGCTGCTGCTGTCCACCCTCCACTGGTTAACACTGCTCCCCAAGGGGCTAAGAATTTTAGTTATCTAAAAACAAGCAGAGTTTGTTTGGAAAATATTAACACACAATCCATGTTACTGCTAGTAATCATGTTGACTGGTACTTGGAACAAAGCGAGTCACTCCAGGGGATACTTGCACAATGTTCTATAAACAGGTATATCCTTCACAGGAAGCGAAATCTCTGCAATGGGACACAGATGGCAGGAAAACAAAAATCTGACAGGTGTGCTAACCCTCCCTTGCCCTATCCAAAATGAAAAAAGTTTTGCCTATAGTTCTACTTTAAGAAAGGAGGAGACAATTCTAAAGAGCATTTATGAAACTTCAGGGATGAAATAAGAATGGATCTATCAGCATCCACATGGGGGAGTACATAAAATTAATTCCAGCCATGTGTACAGCATGTACACTTTTAGGTGAATCTATAATGGCTCTGTATAAATCTGAGTTATGGCTATTCCGGTTTACAGATTATAGGTAGGCAGGCCAATAAATCAGTTTTTGACTTTATTCCACAGGGTTAAGAGACTATCGTCCAAAATTCTCCCATCCATCCGACTGCAAGCACAGATTGCTGGTTTATGAGACTTCATTCACTTAACATGTGGACAAATTGTATAATTTATTTGGGACATATCCAAATTGACCTCAGTGTATAGGTCTACACAAAAGTTTTTCCAATAACAACCCTACCCACCCCAAAAAAGGTTATATTTTTATAGTTCTAGTAAATAAAGATTTGATTACAGGGTAAACCAAAATGAACACCATTAAGGAGGCCATCCACACATACTGACAACTTCAGTAGGTTTTAAATTCAAAAACAGTTATTCAGATCAACACAACCTATTACTATGGCTAATTAGTTTCTCTCAGTACCAGAATATTACATTCAGGGTCTTCCATCAGGAGATGGTGAATAAGGGATTCATTAGTGTTAGATCTAACGATAGTGATTTGGGTTTCACATTTGGGAGTTTAGTCATAGGGGGAGAGCTAGGTATTAAGGCCCCTTATGGGGGTTGGTGTTAAAGGACCACTTAACATATGAAAATTGTCCTTAGGGCTCCATTTGCACTGGTGTTTAGTCATGGTGCGAATTCCAGAGGCAGGAATCTACTGATTCCTGTTGCTGGGTTTGACAGCTACGCGTGGATACCTGCGGCTACTGAGACAGTACCCTGTCGGCAGTGGCTGATATTAATGGCCATCTGCTTCTGCGATTCGCACCATGGCAAAATGCTTCTGCAAATGGAGCCTTACATCTCTCCCTTCTCTACCCTCACTGTAATACAGAGAAAAATACACAAGTAAAACCACCCTCTGGAGGTCTTCACTGAGCGGTCCTGCCCAGTTCTGCACACCCATCTTTGTTCAAGAGTCTCAGCTGGCTCCTGCACATTGAGACCTCATTTATTGCTATAGCTGGGTCTGGACAACAGTGTCCAGCAAGCCACAGGAATAAAGGCATTGTTCATCTGTGGGTGGCATGGGGTAACTACTCAGGACAACTTTACGGAATGTCAAGTCTTTTTAAAGTTTCACTTAGGGGACTATTAAAGCGGAACTCTAGCCATACCTTGCACATTGCTACAGGTCCCTTACAGGTACTTTGTCTTGCACAGGTTCCTCTCCTGTACTGAAATTTCTCTGAATTCACTGTACACTAAGCATTTAGAAACAGAAAATCAGGCAAAGCTTGCCTCACTTCTTGGCTGAAGAACGCACATCACCTACTCCCTTCTACATCTTGTCTCTTACCTATCCTTTCATTCAATAAATTTAGTTCTTTCAATCATTGAGATGCAATATCACATGTGGGCATTACCCATCAATTCTCACCCATTAAGGCCTTCTGCTATTTGCACAACTTCTCCCAAGAGACAGCCCACGGTTTGCATTGGGACTGAGAGTAGTACTGAGGCAGGGTGCTGTGATGTGACCCGTCCAGCACCCTGCAGCCCCTCCCGCAAGCCACAGTCTGCCTGCACTACGTATTAAAGCACAGAGACCCAGCTTACATTACCGACTAAAATTAGGTATGTAATGAAAACAAAGATTTCATTTACAAACACATTTGCATGTTGATGGGGGAGCAATACAGAAAAGGCAAACCATAAGCAGATTAAAATTCAGCTCAAAGTGTTAGGATGGGGCCTTACAGATTGGCATAGTGATCTTTTACACTGCATGGAGTGGAAAACCTGTGCACTGGATGCCAGGTGCTGAAAGCCAATGCATGTGCAGTGTATACAAACATTTTTTTTTAAATCAAAAGCTGCTTGAAATGGCTGTGTTTATGGCCAACATTAGTTCAGGTTACCTACATGTTACCATAGAGATAAGTAGCAAACTTTAAAAATTCAGCATTCAAATTGGCTGCCGTAGTTCTGTAAAAAAGAAGTTTATTCATATCAGGCAGGATGTTCCGAAATAAACAAGTCAAGGGTTGTTTTCTCCCATATATTTTCAATAAATAAATTTAGTATCACAGATCAAGCACATACAGATTTAGGGTTGATTAAAATAAAAAATAATTTATACAGTCTTCACAGCGCAGGGAAGAAAACCACTTTAACCAGCAGTTTCACCAACAGCTGATACCTATACAATAATGTACAGGCACAGGTACCACAGGGTTAACACTGTAATGAGAATTTTCTGGCAAGTCCATGGAGGAAGCCAAGGTATGGGAAGGGATAATTCTATTAAAAGCAGCTCTTTTTATTCCCCAATTTTAGTGGTCAATAGAACAACTCCACCACCGTACTGGTTTATCCTCCTTCCTTCATGTGCAATCAGTCTTTGTGCAAATCTCTTCAGCCCTTCTTGCTCCAGCCTGTGTGCTAGCTCATCCCCTGGGGGTGAGGCTACTGCTCCCAGGATCTTCACCCCCGGGCCCGGCGTTCTTTGCCAGTGATGAGAAAGAACGCTGGGGAATGTCCAAAGTCTAATGCAAGTGTCCATGTCATGCCAGCCTTACATAAGACAACAGCTCTTGGCCTTCTCTTTCTTGAAGGTTGAAGAAATAATTTCAGAGCGGCTGGGTATGTTTAACAGTCTCTTGGATAAGCTTCGGACAGGGCTTCTGCGGTTCGGAGGAGAGGGTTTGGATAGACACACTGAAGATGCTGAACGGAATATGCTGTGTACGCTTTTTTCTGACGTGAAGGCTGAACACTCAAGATAGCTCTCTGCTCCTAATTGCTTGGCTGCAGCACAACCCTGGAATTAAAAAGAAAAGCTAAAATTAGACTTTAAGGATGGCATATATAGCTAGTCAGGCATTTATTTAGCCAACCTATATGCATAGCAAGTATCATCCTAGGATTAAGAGGGTTTAACACTTTTATTAAGTTAACATTAAAATATGGATAAAAATACGTAAAAACTCAGTAGACAGCACACTGCCAACATCATGACTATGAATATGCATTTTATTTATCAGTGCTTTTTTAAGTTTAGACAGCTGCTTATACAGCCTACTAGATACAATATAACAGAATTGAGGGGGACAAAAGAGAAGGCTAAATAAATGATGTTTATGAGCAGTTATACAAGCCGTAAGAAATCCAAAGCAATCATGTGTGCACAGGAACGCCAATTACAAGCAGATTGATCAGTGAGTTTTATTCTTTGGATTCAAAGAAGCAACTAACATTTCTGCCTAGGCTTCTGTATACTTCCTCTTCCATTGGAACTGGAAAAGCCCCTTTCACATGACCATTCTGATCAGGTCTGCCTGTCAGTTTTTCAGGCAGACCTAATTGGATGGTCCATTCATCCCAATGGACTGGCAGGTGTAAATGGACTTGTGTCTGTTTACATCCACCTACCTCTGATCTGATCCAGTCCATTAAATCAGAAGACACATCCTTTGTTGAGCAAATCAGATATGCCCTGTGTGAAAGGGGCCGTATGGTCACTCATTGCAGGATGTGTAATTGCCTTTCGTTACTGCTTTACCATTATGTTTGCATTATTATACATGTGGAAATGTAACATGGGGAGAATTAGTCTGCAGATGCTATAAGAGCAGGGTGGTGTATTTTATAGCTCTAGACTACACAAATTAGCCATATCTATTTGAATGTGTACATAAAGATCACTTTGAAGTGAAACTATCAATATCAAAAACAGCAGGCATGCATTGCATACTTAAATGTACACTAACCTGTTCATAAGACACAGGTGCCTGTTTCTGGTTTGACAACTCCATGATTGTGCTAAGGTCAGTTCGTAGGTCAGTTTTGCAGCCAATCAGAAGTATTCTAGTGCTGGGGCAGTAGTCCACGACTTCAGTTTTCCACTGCAAGTAAGGAAAAGCCATCATTAGTCAAGGTAAATACAGCAGTAGGGTAGCATTCCTGTCAAAAGCCATCATTAGTCTAGGTAAATACAGCAGTAGGGTAGCATTCCTGTCATAAATATTTTTAACGTCATTTGATTGCAGAATACATATTGTACTATTACGATCATTTGAATAGTTGCCTAGTAGTTACACATTTACTATTTCCAAGCATATAGGGGGATTAGCTTAAGCATTGCAAGTTCTTACAAGAAACAGGGTGGACATCACAAGAGCCATTCAGTTCAGCCTCGGAGCAGGTTTTTAAAGAGCACAGGTCACCCGCTTCTGCCAAGAGCAGAGATAGCATCAGCAACATAGGCCTGGGCCTTGAGGACAGATCTGACCCCACTCATGAATGCCTTTTTCCTACTCCATGCACCAGTGATGGCACTAGAATGATGGGTTTAATAGCTGAAAGGAACATTAACCACTTCCTGTCCGGACACTTTTACCCCCTTCCTGTCCAGGGCAATTTTCAGCTTTCAGCGCTATCACACTTTGAATGACAATTGCGCGGTCATGCAATACTGTACCCATATGAATTTTTTACCATTTTTTTGAGACAGATAAAGCTTTATTTTGGTGGTATTTATTCACCGCTGGGATTTTTATTTTTTTTACTATGTAAATGAAAAAGTCCAAAAATTTGAAAAAAAAGTGTTTTTTTTAATAAAATTTTGCAAATAAATAATATTTCATCCTAAATCTTGGCCAAAATTTATTCCGTTATTTTTTTAGTAAAAAAAAAAAAAAAATCAAAATTAGTTTTATAACCAAACATTATAATTTTTAAACATTTTTTTTTTTACATTTTTATTTTATTTTTTTTTATATATTTTATTTTTATTTTTTATTTTTACATACTGTCACCCTAGCAGTACAGTGTCACCATGGTGACACTGTACTACTTGTGGGGGGTGATGAAGATTTTTTTTTTTTTTTTTTACACTGATTGCTTTTACACCCATATAGGATGTAAAAGCAATCATTTCTCTTTCTCTGTTCTGTCTGCATTCTTGCAGTCATTGAGAAATACTGAGTGAGCTGTTCGTAGGTCACAGTTTTGCAGCATGAAGTATTCTAGTGCTGGGGCAGTAGTCCAATACTTCAGTTTTCCACTGCAAGTAAGGAAAAGCCATCATTAGTCTAGGTAAATACAGCAGTAGGGTAAGCATTCCTGTCATAAATATTTTTAACATCATTTGATTGCACAATACTATTGTACTATTACGATCATTTGAATAGTTGCCTAGTAGTTACACATTTACTATTTCCAAGCATATAGGGGGATTAGCTTAAGCATTGCAAGTTCTTACAAGAAACAGGGTGGACATCACAAGAGCCGGGGGACAGTTCAGCCTCGGAGCAGGTTTTTAAAGAGCACAGGTCACCCGCTTCTGCCAAGAGCAGAGATAGCATCAGCAACATAGGCCTGGGCCTTGAGGACAGATCAACCCCACTCATGAATGCCTTTTTCCTACTCCATGCACCAGTTTATAACTAGAATGATGGGTTTAATAGCTGAAAGGAACATTAAAGCTAGTACAGTGTGAGAGCTATATGTATACGAGTTAATGATGAGTTTTGTAGAGACACTGCTTTTTTGATAAGGAAATAAGAATACTATTGAGAGAAGTCGGTCTTAGGGCCATTCACACAAAGGTTATCGTAACACATGGTAAAATGGGTATATGTAAAGTTTCAGAATACTGCATCTTTTGCAAGACAGACAGCAGATGCAATACCACACAGAGCCTGGAAATGTATAATATTTGTGAATATGTTGATGCATTGCATTTCACAGTGAAATGCTGCCATAGCCTGAAACATTATAAAGAAAAATGCCTGTCATCCTCTATGTCAGGTGTCTCAAACTGGTGGCTCTCCAGCTGTTGCAAAACTACAAGTCCCATCATGCCTCTGCCTTTGGGAGTCATGCTTGTATCTGTCAATCTTGCAATGCCTCATGGGACTTGTAGTTCTTAGACTGTAAGCTCCAAGCAGCAGGGCCCACCTAACCCCCTTGCATTGAACTGTATTGTCTCCCGTTATGTTGTAAAGCGCTGAGCAAACTGTTGGCGCTATATAAATCCTGTATAATAATAACAGTTTTGCAACAGCTGGAGGGCCACCAGTTTGACACCCGTGCTCTATGTACTATTTAAAGATTGTGGCAGAGGCCAGCTCTGGGGTTTGACAAAATCTGTATCATCCAACTAAATTATAAGAACATTTGGGTCTTTATTAACCTGACTCTTGAAGGGTATATAAACCCCAACAAATTCAGAGATGTCCGGTGTCCTCTGCACATTTGCAGTTATCCCAAAAATCTATTTAATCATCCCAGTTCTTTTCTTGGTACTACAAGCCAGTGAGTGCCTATCCTTTGGAGATGGGCACAGCGAGATGAATTTAGTAGTTTTCCAAAAGAAAACGTGGCAGGGCTGATACCACTCAACTCAGTTATTAGCCGAGTGCCTGTCAGATCTACAGGTATTTTCTCTGAACTTATAGGATGTAAAAACACAGGGAAATATACATGTATTGCAGAAGCGTACTGCATTTTTTTTTTTTCATTTCCTTATATGCTTTAATAAGAAATCCAACACATGCAGTAGATATGAGTCTTTTCTAATGAATCATCTACACAGATTACACATGGGAGGGAAGAATGAACTTGCCTTCTTCAAAGCACTATCTAGGCTCTCTGGCCGGCTGACGTCAAAGCAGAGCAGTACTGCATCAGAGTCGCTGTAGCAGAGGGGCCGGACATTATCATAATATGGAGAACCTGTGAACAGATAAAAGACAAATGGTCAACAGGTGTGAAGGTCAGACAGATGCAAGTTTGCTACTATTCACACCGAACACAGGGGGAGAGATTAGAAGTGGATAATTTACACATAAATCAGCCCAACTTGTTGTCTGCCAACTTTCGGAAGTCACAGTGTGGTCTGAATATACAGAATTCTACCATATATCACTTCTGGAGACAGACAAGGCATGGAGCGTTATGTCTCAATCGGAATTCTTCATTCAATGATCTGACTATAGACATTATATGCTATGGGCTACTGTGCTCAACTCTCCATTGTTCTTTGTTGCATTTACAAATAGTAATTAACCACAGAAATGTTAAGCAGGTGAGCAAACTTAAAACAAAATTAACTTTTGTCTTTAAAACAGTGTCTCTCAGCCTTTTCAATGCAGAGGAATCCCTAATATACTTTTCAGGTCTCGGGGAACCCTTACTTAAGCCAACTTTAGGTGGTTAATGGAAAAAAATCCCTTTGTGTTGGTGGTCAGTAGGAAGAATGCAACTATTACAGTGGTGGCCAGAATACCAACTGTACAGGCAGTTTATAAGGTAACTGGTGGCTTTGCCAAGTGGTGCAGGTCCTGGAACCATACAGGCACCATCAAATGAGAGGTCAATGAACCACAGCTCAAGGAACCCCTAGCAACCTCTGGAGAAACCCTGGCTAAGAATGGCTGCTTTAAAATGTGATGAAAGTCATAATTAGTGCTGTGATCAAAACCATGGCTTTAATACTTTTATTGTTCAGCTTCTACAGTACTTATTTTAGAAGCAGCTTCATGTATGACAGACTGAGCTCATTACAGCATTGTCACAGCTACAATAAAAGATTAACACTAGCTTCAGGGCAGGCATTCCAGCTCATCAGGGATCACATTGTTAATCGCCTTTTGCAAACACTGTCCGTACGGTTTTTGTTACATAATATTATCAGGCTTACTAAGGTAGTGCAATCAGCAACAGTATGCAACACACCCCATAGGAACAAAAGAAGTTTCACGTATCAGGAATCAGATTATAATAATACAGTATTTATAAAGCGCCAACAGTTGGCTCAGTGCTGTACATTATAATGGGAGACAGTACACGAGACAGCACAGTAACAATACAATACACGAGGGGTTCGAGGGCCCTGCTCCTTGGAGCTTATAATCTAGGAGGGAGGGGAGAGTGGTACAGGAGGAAATAGCTGTGGGGGATGGAGTGGTGGGAGAGCGGAGATCGGCAATTAGGTGAGGGCAGGGTAGGCTTCTCTGAAGAGATGGGTTTTCAGGGTGCGCCTAAAGGTGAGGAGGGCAGGTGACAGTCTGATGGATTGGGGTAGTGAGTTCCAGAGGATGGGGGAAGCCCTGAAGATGGGCATGGGAGGAGGAGACCAGGGAACTAGAGAGGAGGTCTTGTGAGGAGCGGAGAATAACTGCCGAATGGTTTTTATGGGTTATTGTACTGGCTCTATGCCATTATATGATATGCATAGTTATGCAACATTAGTACCCCATGGAAAACTAATGACCTTCATTTATTGAATTGTTTGCAAGATATTCTCTTATAGCAGCCAATCAGCTTATTTCCTTTCATTCTAACAATGAAGTCTGGGAGGGCAAAATAAGATTTCTAAACACCAGCAGTTTTCCTTAAAATGTATTGAATAGGTCCACAACTATTATAGAAACAGAATGCTGCTGGTCTATTGCCACCATTAACCTTAAGTAAATTAAATAATCATGGTCTGAAAAACGATTTGGCCCACCACTGATTTGTTAGTAGATAGAAGCCCTATCCCTGTTATTGCACTTACATGGAAGCAAAGTGCTAAAGACTGTTAAAAGCTAAGTTATGGTAAAGGCTGGCTATGAACTGAAATCCCCAGTGATTAGCTCAACTTCAGGGACAAGTTAGCCACTCAAGCCCAGAACATGTGTTCTAGCACAGCAGCAATCTTTCCCCAAGGATGCCATTATCTGCTTTGTCCTTATGTGTGACAACTCTTCCCTGTGCTAGAAGAGGTTTGGGATAGCATATCAATTTAACGGCATGAGTGTTCAAAGCAGTGCGTACCACTGGAGAGCCAACGTGCACAGATGCCCTTTGAGTATTTAACAGCACCAAAGCAACTCACAAGTGGCTTATGAAAACCAAAAAAAAAAAACCCCAATTTTTTTTTTTATATATATATATATATATATATATATATATATATATATATATATATATATATATATCTATTCTTTGAGATAAATATACACACACACATATATATATATCAATTAAACACACACAGTGATGCGGTTCCTAGGGTACGAAGCCCGGACAGCACCCCGCAGGGCAAAGGAGCTGCAAGCCGTAAGCTTTCTCCGTTTCACCCTCCCCTTCAGATTTCAGCACAGAAGCTTCGTGCTTAGAATAGCAAATACCCCCTCCCTGACTAGAAGAACAGTTTCCATGGCAACAAGGCCAGACCAATCATGTTAGGGGACAGGAGGCTGCAGAATATCAAGACATTCAACAAAAAAATATGTACCAAAAGAAGGTAACGAGTTAAAGTGTATCTATTGCGCACCGCATTGTGCCATTTCGTCCAGATATAAATCCCAGCTCCGAAAGTGCCAACGCTAGGCATGGGCGTAACGAGATTGCTTTAAAGGTCTAAGTGCCAAATTATCTTACATATCCCAAAAGCTATAAATATAATTCCTAAATCATTAAAAAAAAAAAGTCCCATCAGTGATCTACAAAAAAAAAATGACTACAAGATCACATTAGGACTTTTGTTTTGAATAGTTTTTACAAACAATGCACAGAGATCCTATGGCCATAGGATAAAATTGTTTATTAAGCTATTATATTTATCTATCGAGGGTCCAGGCTGGCTACCTGGCATGGGTGGTGCACTGCTCAAGGACTGGCTGATGCCTGCTGCATCCCTTCCCCTGGGGCTTTTTAGAAAACTGCGTAGCTGAATGTACAAGTCTGAGCTACACACTGGCTTGGAGATTTGCACCACCAATCTGCAGCATCTAGTAGACTGGCTATGCATAGCAAGCAGCCAGAGTGATCAATGTTAGCACTGCATCTCTGTAAAGGGCGACAATTTATTCTAATACATACAGAAAACCTTCAGCCAGGTATAGCAAGTCTATAATAAAGGAAATTATGTGCAGAGAGATGCAACGCACAGCAACGAATTAGAAAACCTCTCTGATTGTCTGTTAAAGCACTGAGAAGTGCTTATTATTTGTGACAAAAAAGGTTTAGTTTATATATACACTAACTTTATATCCAATTGCAGGCTTACTTAACGAAATGAAGCAAACAAAGCAGAAAGGCAGTTACTTTTATAGCAAAGTTAGGACTGTGAATTGTGAACTCTGTTGCTATTAAAAGGGATTGAAAACCCACGTTTTATTTCTTAAAAAAAACATGTTATACTTACCTGCTCTGTTCAATAGTTATACGCAGAGCTGCCCCAATCCTCTACGCAAATCTTCTGCCAGCACTCCTGGCTCCTCCCCCTACCAGGTGCCCCCAAAGCAAGCCATTTGCTAAGGGGCACTTGTGCAGGCTCCCTCCTGAGATGGTTCTGTGTGTCCATAGATACAGTGCAGCTCAGCCCCGCCCCCCGATCCCTCCACACTGGCTGTGATTGACAGCAGCAGGAGCCATCGTCTGAGCCACTGAGTACGCAAAGAGATGCTGCTCTTGTGCACAGCACTGAATCAAGATCACACTCAGGTAAGTATAAGTAGGGGTCTGGGGGAGGGGGAACTGCACTCAGGTTTTTTCCTCTAGCCTTTAGAAACACTTTAAAAAAATGACTCCAGATTTTCAGCTTTAAAAGGTAATACAATCAGCAATTTAATGATCATTAGATGAGACAGTATATCAATTTATATTTATGACTACTCTTATATCTGGGATATGTGATAGAATGAGACATGTAAACGAATTGTGTTTGAAGAATTCCTTAGTGTGTGATGCATAGATTTGTTTGGAGGTCTGATTCCTTTAGTCTCTTCTCACTATAAACTATGGGTATACTGTCTCGTTGGGTGCCAAGTCCTACTCCATAAAACCCATAGTTTCCAAACACTAGAGTGAAGATCTCCAAATAGGCTGATACTGCTTTATGCAGTTTGGAAAAACTGTCTCTATAGGATTAGACTATATCTGCACTATACTATACCAGTAGTTCTTGATGTGTATCTGGCTATGAGATGTGAAGGAAAGATTTGCACTCTCCTGCCCACTGTCCTGAAATTAGGACTAATCATCTTATTTTTGGGATGTGATAGAATGAGATGTGAATAACGTCAGTTATAAACAATGATTGGAGACTAATGCTTAAGGGAGCCTTGTTAACGGATGAACTCAATGTAAATGGCTAAACACCAAAGATAGCCACATTGTATATGGAGGTTGTTGTACCTGCTAAAAAATTAGTTTCTGCCCTTCCAGTTTTGAGATTTACACAGCTCTACCACAGAGCACAGCTCAATTGGGCAAGGCAGGGAACCACTCTGCTGTGGTTGACACTTACAGGCCCTGTCTTTCTCACACCCCCACCCCTGCTTGTGATTTGACAGTGAAAGGAGAAGCAGCAGACTGAGGAGCTCATCTCTAACTCTTCTTTCCTCCTATCAGCATGTCGCTTCTTAGCACATGAGCACGGCAGAACACTCAATTGGCTCTGTGTTGCTTATGCCTCTTCCTGTCTGAACTATGCTGTACAGGGATTACAAGAGGCTGATACCAAATAAAATTCAGACTTTTAACTGAATTACAAAAAAACACCCATTTATGATATATCATGGACTACAGATCTTCATTAATCAGGTCATCTCTCTGCTGGGAGATCAGCTTTAACAGACAGCAGGCATGTCCCCAAAGATATTGTTGGGCTGTTTAATTCAACACAAGTAGTTCTTGAACACCCAGGGAAAGTGTGGGTATTATAGGGGCATTAGTGGGACACATACTTCAAATGCATATATGCCAGTTTGGCCAGAAATTGGAAATTTCTCTGTGGCCTTGTTAATGCATAGGGATCTATAGATAAGGAAAGTTCCAAGATTTCACCGATCCAAAAAAAACATCAAAAATTGGAAACCCTTAATCAGTGTCTGATAAATTGGGGACACTATTTTTTTTTCAAACTGTCATTTCAGTACTGAATCTTAAAGGTTGCAGTAATTACAGGTCATATTTCAGAAAATGTGACGGATAAGGCCCAATGAATCATGTTATCAGAGGTCCCCAGAGAATGGCGAAAAAAAAAAAAATCTATACCTATCAGATAACCCGGTCTCTTACTTTTTATTAGTCACAAGCATGTGTAATATAAAACTTTAGTTAGCACACAATGGTTTTGCTGCACTCAGGTTTTCTACTTTAATGCAAAGAATTCATTAAGGTAAAAACCTTTAGCTGTTGGAACCATTTTAAATGGCAAAAGGCTCAATTCACAAAGGTAAAAACACCAGTGACAATTAAAAAAGTGAGTTATTTCTAGCCAAGTCAAATGAAAATTAAAAACAAATCACACTGCTAAAAATGAAGCTCCTTATTCCTCTGTTAGAGTTTGGAGTTAGTTTTTTCAGCTTTCTGAACAAAAAAAAAAAAAAGGGCATTTTTAAAGTGGAAAAACATGAAATCATTAGAATCTACTAGTGAGCCATAAAACAGGATGTGGGAAGAAAGAGTAATTAGATTTGTGTTTTAAAAGCAGCTTTGAGAAAGGAATGAGATATTTTACACTGCTAATTAACAGTTGTAACAACAAGTCCCTTTTAAGAGTGGAAATCTGTTCTAGGTGTTGACCACCAGTGTCTCATCTCACTTCTCCCTAAGGGCAGTTTCAGGCCTGAAAGACCGGCTAAACAGCACCCAGCAGGAAACACAATAAACCTTTGATTACAACTTTTCTTCTGTTATTAAAACAATTGAAAAGGAATGTTAAAAAGCTTCAGTTTATCCCAAGCCTACAATTGTCTAACGGCATTTTCCCACCCTCTGTCTCTAACTGTGCTGAAAGGTTTGTATATGAACAGCACATATAAAGCAGGAAAAGAAATGACAGACTACTTATGTAAGATTGCCAACATGTCTGGGCCAAATCCCCCTTACAAAAAGGACAGTACAATTACAGGTCTTCTATCATTAAAGCATCAATATTAAGCAGCACTTTTGGTATTTCCCATTCTGTATTTGTAGCGAGTTCATCTTATTGTCTTACATGATCAGCAGTTTGGGACAGAGATGCTTCAAATGGATTCATTAACAGGCTTGATGAGTGCAGAAAGACAATTGTTTAATCGCAGATGTCTTCCCTTAATAGGATTCCTAAAGCTCTTTCAATAATTTAATTTGTGATTTGGGTGAAATGGACATTAAGACTAAAAGTATTAATTTACATCCTTATTAATATGAAATATCTTGGTGCTATTCTAAATATTCGAGGTGTGAATGGGCTACCAGAATTACATTACTATATTAGCAATATCTGTAGGGACTACAAAAGGTTACATTCATAGAAACGGCTGAACAGTGCTGGTCTATGGTTCAGTGAAAACTAGGCATTCACATACAAGTTTTCAAAAGATATTACTTAGTGAGGACCATGTGATCAGGCCTAGCCAGGTCCATACTAGGGTTGATTTACTAATACTGGAGAGTTCAAAATCTGGTGCAACACTGCACAGAAACCAATCAGCCTTCAGGTTTTAGCCCTGGTTCACACTGATGCGGTGCAGAATTTGCAGCGTTTTCTATATGAATTCTGCACCGCATCAGAATCGCACCACATTCATACGAACTGCTGCATGTTAAGTTAACATCACCCCGAAAGCGGTCCACAAAACGTGGCGTGATGTGCAGAATCGGATCGCATAGGTGTGAATACCCATGCGATCTGATTGTAGTACCAAAAAAAAGGGTCCTGCACCTTTTTGGTCCGGTGTGATTAGAGCCATATATAATGTATGGCTCCAATCAGACCGCACACAAATCGCATGTGATTTGCACAGGAATGCAGTGCGGTTCCTGTGTGAATCACATGCAATACACGGCACATATGTGAATCTGGTCTTATTGTCAAAGTTTAATTGAACAAGCTGAAGTTAGAAGCTGATTGGCTACAATGGAAATCTGCACCAGATTTTGCAATCTCCAGTTTTAGTAAATCAACCTTTGTATGTCAATTGTCAAACCAAACAAGGACTGTACCACATACACCGAGTGGAGTCTAGTCTGTTACATTTCAATACAGTACCATACAATAAACAACTACATGCCATCAATATAGGAAATGCGATCCCTATGAAAGAGACCTGGGCTTGGTCAATTGCTATTTTGAGAAACCAGAGAGATTTTTTGAAGTTATCTCAATACTTACAACCAACTTCCTATTTCAGAATCTTACAAAGCACACTAGTCACAAATCATTGATTATAGAGGACAGGGGCATCACACAGTGAATATCTAGGAATCTCAACAAAGCATATTCTAGTGAAAAATGGTGGATTATAGAGTACAAGAAATAAAACCCCCAGTTAATCTTACTTGTAGCTATAAGGACTCTAGGAATCTTCCAGGACAGCAAGTCTACTCCAGGTTGCTGTCCAGAAGATGACATGGGAAAATTTACATTAGTCTTACTGGTAATGAGATTTCTAGAAATTTTTCTGGACTGTAACCTGAAGAAGGCTTGCTTTCCTTGAAGATAACTAGGGAAAAGTGACATATCTTGGGATTTCTGGAGGTATGCCTACTTGAGCTTATGACTGCATATGAAAGCAAAACCTATAGATTGAAGCACAATTTTGGAGCCTATATATTAATTACAATTGTTATACCATCCAAGGTTATGCCTTGTAATGTTATGCAATAAGGCTGTTTGTTACAAGCTATACATGCTTTTTATGATGGGCTATGCAACTGCTCAACATATTATCATCACGTTTTTAACTGGTCAAATAAAGTTGTATCTTTTATACTTTTGAGTAATTTTATTTTGGTGTGGTGCCTCACAAAGCCCCAATAGCTTTTCTCAGTTAGGGTGCTCATGTCTTCAAATGTAAAACCTAGACAGTCATTATGGTTAGTGTTTAAGGCCCTGGATAGGACACCAATATACACTTTAAATTCAATATGGGCAACTAATTTCATTACATAGTCATATTATGATAAGCCCTGTACCATAGTCCAGCCCACACTTGTGTGCAAAACTTAAGTTTGATGGGCAGTAATATTCCTAAGCACTCAAGTTCTTTGTTCAGTTTAGCTTGAGCATTATCCTAATATGGTTCATTGAAACCTGTGAGCAGCAGTACTGCTATGTGCTAAGCTATTTACAGAATGCAGTACAACACATCTGATTAGGAACCAACTCAATTACTTCGCATTGCACTCAAAACAGCCTGATGACGGTGGAGTTAGATGGCCCTTTAAAAGTTAGAACTTACTTGCATAAGTTTTAAATATTAATAGCAAAAGGCATGCGTCAGTAAATGGCTCAATTTTATGAAGGGTCAAAGCATTTCAATGGAACTCCCATAGGCCCAAAGGCACTCCCACCTTTATGACTTGGCCATCATTGCCAGAAAGGCAGCCTAGGCCTGCCACTGTTCTTAATTGTCTAGCAGAGACCCTTCAAAGAAATGTCTCAGGCTGCAATACAGTGACAATGAATATTATTCATACGTCTGCATGAATCTGCGAATAGCCCTGAATCAATTTTCAGCATTTTAGACCCATCTATGGTTTGGATGTAGTACCACGGTCTAATACCTGCATTATTTTAGGTACACCTATTGTCTTTCCATCCAGAATGCAGCACAAAAGAAATTCCCCAACAGCCCTCCCCCTGAATGAGCAAATGGTTATTACTTAGACAGGATCACTTAAATGGCAATCTGCAGGAGAAGGTTGTATTTAGTTGGGATGTGAGCAGTTTTATTGAAGTTTATCAAAAGAGGTCTTATTGATCCTTCCAAAATGCATACCTGATGTGTCCCATAGGCTGAGCTCCACACGGTGTTCTTCTGTCTCCAGGCTAGCTGTGTAGTTTTCAAACACTGTAGGTACATAGGTCTAGAAACAAGAGACATACATATATAGCTTAAGACAACACTGCAGCCAACAGATGCTTTAATGCAACATTACATTGCTAGGACATTATTGTAGCCAACAAAAGCACAGGGGGGCTGACACCTACGCAACACACAGTGGAACTGCGGGCAACACGGCTCACTGACACCACTGCAGCCAACGCAAGCACACGTGTCTCAATGGCACCACTGCAACATACAGATATCGATACGCAAGGCAAATGCACCACACAATAAGACAATCCAGACAGGCAAGACAAAGGAGAAAAATCAGAGTCAGACTAAGGAAAGGAAAGCCCAGTCTTTTAGCACAGCCAACAATATCATACACAATGGTATACTGCTGAACTACAATGGTGTCCCACCTAGAAAGCAGTTAATAAAATTCTGCCTTGAATGTATCATGAGATCATCTTAAGATCTCTGCAAACATTCCCAAGGACGAGGTGAACAATGCAACACAGCTATAAACCACTGGAATGCAGTACAATAAAAATAAATAAATCAAACAAAAACACTTTCTTAAAAACAAAGTTATTGACAAAATAGCACAAGCCTAAACGTTATAAATGAATCCTAAACTGATAATTACAGGGCTAACCAACATCAAAAACCTAACAATAAAGAAAATGACCCTTTACTTTCACACCTTCACTGTAAATGATTTACTATATATTCTAGATTAACATTGAACAAATAATAATACAGTGAACAGTTTTAATACTTATTCACTTTGTGTGTGTATATATATATATATATATATATATATATATATATATATATAAAAAATCTTTAATAATTTGAACCAATTTAAGATATGTTTACACTATAGGCCGATATATTCCATGTACTTATATTCATTAATGTGACACTTCTTTGTGCACTTGATCAAGCTGGGATATAAATCAATTCCTTTATATATAATAAATGCAGACAGCACTAAGGCTTCTTTCCCAGTGCCCAGGGTAATGATGTTTAATGTGCTCAGTACAGGATGTAGCCAGTGCCATGGCAGTAATGCCAGTCCAGGGAGATTGGAGGTGTCCCTAATGGAATCTGATATTTCACCAATATCCTGGTTTCATACTGGGCAGGAAGATGGAAAGGGAGGGAATCAGACACTGATACACAACAATAGATCACCAATATTCTGGGATCGTACTGGGCAAGGCAGGGGTTAGTCATCTCCTGGTTGGGAGCAGACACTGCAATAGATCAATATCCAAGGATTGTGGTGGGAAAGGGGTATCAGACACTGATTTACCCAAAATGCCAATATCCAGGTACAGACTGGGCAGAGGGTAGGAGGACGAATGGTTTTCCCAGGGGGAGCAGACACTGATACACCCCAGTAGATCACTAATACCCTGGGATCCTGCTGTGTGGGGGAATCAGAGGTCTCCCAGCTGGGGACAGGTACCGCAATAGAGCAACATCAAAGGATCATTCATGCTGGGCAGGGGGATCAGACACTAATATCCCCCCCCTAATAGATCTCTAACGTCCAGGAATTAGCCTGGACAGGGGGTTCAGAAACTGATCCCCCCGTAGATCTCTAATATCCAGGGATCAGTCTGGGCAAGATGATCAGACACTGAAACCCCCCAGCAGATCTCTAGTATCCAGAGATCAGTCTGGGCAAGGGGATCAATCACCAATACACCCCAACAGATCTCTAATAACCAGAGATCAGGCGGGTCACTTGTGTCCCCAGTGGGACCAGACACTGATATATAACTAATATACTGTGATCCATATCCCCAGTGGGATCAGACACTGATACATCCCAGATCACTAATATCCTGGGACCAGGCTCAGCAGGTGGGTCACTTGTGTCCCCAGTAAGATCAGACACTGATATATGATCACTAATATCCTGGGATCCCAGTAGGATCAGACAATGATATATATTCACCAATATCCTGATGATCATTAATATTCTGGGATCCCAGTGTGATCAGACACCGATATATGATCACTAATATCCTGCGATCCCAGTGTGATCGGACACTGAAATATGATCACTAATATCCTGGGATCCTAGTGTGATCAGGCATCGATAATGATAACTAATATCCTGAGATCCCAGTGTGATCGGACACTGATAATGATAACTATTATCCTGAGATCCCAGTGTGATCGGACACTGATAATGATAACTAATATCCTGAGATCCCAGTGTGATCGGACACTGATAATGATAACTATTATCCTGAGATCCCAGTGTGATCGGACACTGATAATGATAACTAATATCCTGAGATCCCAGTGTGATCGGACACCGATACATGATCACTAATATCCTGAGATCCCAGTGTGATCGGACACTGATAATGATAACTAATATCCTGAGATCCCAGTGTGATCGGACACCGATACATGATCACTAATATCCTGAGATCCCAGTGTGATCGGACACTAATACATTATCACGATTAGTGTCCCCGGTAGGATCAGACCCCCCCCCCCCCCCCCCCCCATCTCTTCCTGGGAAGGATCCCGGTCACAGCCCAGTGCACAGACATCCCAGCTATGCGGGCACTGAGGTTACCGCTCCGCCAATACAAAGGCCATGCGGCTGTCACTCACCTCGGGGTAACAATCCTTGGCCAGGACCTGTAACATGGCCGTCTTCCCGCAATGCACATCCCCCACCAGGACCAGTTTGCACCGGACTACAGCGGGTTGAGGGTTCCTTCTCTCCTTCATAGTGATGGATGATGTCCGTACAACGAGCACACTGCGATCACTTCTACTACTCTTCTCCGTATAACACACAGCCCGATCACTCACAGCAACGACTACAGCGGAGCAGCCAGGCTGCCGTCTATATACAGAGCTCTGCGCCAATCACTAGGCGAGAGCTCAGTGGCCCCGGGCCAATAGGCGGCAATTTCTGAGAGACGCCCCGCCCCCTGTGTTCTCTGCCTGGAAGAGTGATAGCCTGCAGACAGACAGAGTCCCTGGAAGAGGGAGCCATGTGTATTGTTATGGGATGTGTGCAGAGGTGGGGGAGCCGGTGTCAGGGGCCACTCTGATCACATTCTACCTGGGAAGAGGGATGATCAGCACAAGGGACTGCTAAATGCCTGGCCTGACTGTGTCTGTGAATGGAGGATGGCTGGGGTTACAGATAATGAAAGCAGCACAAGGAGACATCTTAATGTCAATATCCAGTGATCAGGATTTCACAAGGTGTACACTTCAATAATATGCCACCTGGGTAAAAGGCAATCCACTTCCACAAAGCCTGGAATATACCTGACTGCAGATTTCTGGGCTATAGTCAGAAAAAACATAAAGTAGTATTAAACCTAACAGCAATCATTTGCAGCTTACCAATTCTTAGATGTGATGGCTGCATTCGTTTTCCTTTTTAGGCTTGTTTTCTTTATTACAGGTACTTATATAGCGCCATCAATTTACGCAGCGCTTTACATATATATATTGTACAATCACATCAGTCCCTAACCCTCAAGGGGCATACAATCTAAGGTCCCTAACTCCCATCATACATACACATACTAGGGCCAATTTACCTATCAGCATGTCTTTGGGGTGTGGGAGGAAACCGGAGTACCCGGAGGAAACCCTTAGGGCCAGTTCACACTACATGCGCTTCAGTGCACTGCATCCAAAACACACAGAAAGGGTATATGGTTGTCAGTGTCATAGTTCACATCAGTGCTTGCAGTTCCAGTGCGTTCTGATTACAGAAAAAAAGTAGAACGGGCTGCATTTTTCCTGCACAAACCTGTACTGGAACCGCATAAAAAATGCACTGGAAAGCACATGTCCCTATTTAATTGAAAAAGAGAGGGGAAAAATTGGACCGGAAAACATGAAAAATGTACTGGAACGTGCCAAAAACATGCATGTGGAAACGCATCCAGAACACATCTGGACTTTGTTTTTGTGGTGTGAACCAGCAAGAGTCTATAGTGCTTATAGAGGTTCAGCTGGGACTTGCAGTCCTCCTAGGCACCAATCTCCTCTCCCGGTGATAATAGGTATCAACTTAGCGGTCACAGTAGTATCATTCCTCATGCAATCATGAAGTAGAGAAAAAAGGGAGCCCACATAGTGAAATTCCATTTATTAATGAGAATCAAACAATATGTATTCCACTCACATTTTGAAATCTGATGTCGAAGCATAAAACACCGGACTGGAAGTAGCGCACTGACTTGCTTTCCACCGGCTGTGACGTCACCAAGGGCTTATACTGACGTGTTTCGCCCCTCCCACTGGGCGTCTTCAGAGATTTAAAAAGGGAGTGCTTACTCTGACTATTTTAACACTCTTGAAGGTCAAGACCCTTTGTAGAAGCAGCAGCCAGTTGTATATTTTTAGCACATTGATGTAATTAACCTCCCTAGCGATCTGATTATGTCAGTATTTCTGTGCTCAAAGCGGTACATTTTTTTGCATGGAAATATGTATTTTTTTTATTGTAGGCCTGTAATTTTTAGGAATAACTCACTGAAATCTGTCCAAACAAGAGTCTAGTAAACATCCCGGGTATGATAAAATTTGAAACATGAAATCATAAATTATAATTTAAAAAATAATCATAAAAAATAATAATATAATAATAATACATTTAATTCAATAACATAATCAAACCAAAAACACTGAAATTTTAAATATAGCGCCAAGTTCGCACATCACTGAGCAAAGTCGCAGAATCGTTTTCAGTGTCTGATGACAAATTTCCCTACGAAAGTAATTCTGATTTACTATCGCTGTTCTCTATCTGGTCTAAAACCGATTTTGACCTAAAGGGACGCTTTTTGGACGCCATGGACATTTCTCAGTTTCCAGGCAGAAAGAACAGTAAAAATGCAGGCAGGGCGCAGGACAAAGCACTAGGGACAAAATGTATGCAAATGGTTTGATACAGTAATGGTATACTATGTGATTTTACTGTATGACTTTTTGTCATTTTTAAATTTCCTGATGTCACAGGGGACGGAACCCAGAAGACAGATGCCGGCATCCCCCGGAGGACATTACATGGGACACTGCAGGAGGGACATTGCGGGAGCGCAGGACAAGGTAAGAGAAGAACAGATCCCGGAGCTGCACCACATGGTAAGCCCGATTGTAGCTCGGGGTTACCACTTTTGGTACTGAAATGTTACCCCAAGCTACACTCGGGAATACCGCCAGGGAGGCTACAAAATCATTTTTGCACATAAGATGAGGATCCTAGCGTGGGACACTAGTCTTTAAAATATGCTATTCCAAACTTGTTTTCAATCAATTTCAAGCATAGGGTCAGGTCACATCAAACTAGTTTGTTTAGTGCATTGGTGTCTGGTCAATTTCTTCTGGACAGTAAAGAGAGAGAGAAAACACATGTATGTATTACTCTTCAACGTCAGCAAGTGCGGCTCCACTTGACGCGTTTCGTGCGCATGCACGTCTTTAGGGGTACGCTTCATGGGTACACTCAGTGAGTGTACCCCTGAAACCATGCATGCACACGAAACGCGTCGGGTGGAGCCGCACTTGCTGTTGTCGAAGGTTGGAACGGTGGCCATCTTGCTATTCCTCATAGTAGAGGGTCCACCTGCTTTTTTGCCCTTGGCTGAGCATCCCTTGCAGAGGCTTCATTGCTGTTACCTGTACCCAGATGAGATGTGCTTACATGCTGTTTACCAGTAGATGTCTGGTGAGTGTACATCTGACAGAGGTGGTGGATTCCCTATTGGATCACTTCACACTATTTCACCGTGATTGCCGTACTTCAATCCTTACGGACAATTTATAGCTCTTACTCCACTGATATTTTATGGACTTTATATATTCTCACTTTTATGCTGCACTTTACTGTTTCACATTTATTGAATGATTTATTGAACATTTTTTTATATTTGATTTTTATATGCTGCACTTGACTGCTCCGCTGAAAACATTTTTTTTTTAAATTTTTCGCTATATGTCAGATTGACTTTGCACTTTGTTTTCACTATAATATCATTCGCTTATTTTAGCGCTGCACTTTCTATATATTTATCCATAAGGAGTTGTTACCTATACCTTGGTGCTAGCTGCTTTATAGTTCCAGAGCTCGCCTACACTTGATATTTACATTACTATAAACATCGAGACCCGAGGCCCAGGCTCGGATGCCTTTGATGTCCTTTCCAACTTCTCTTTCTTTCTCTCCCTTTCTCTGTTCTTCTCACTCTCTGCGCCAGCCTTTCTCAACCTTTTCAACGCAGAGGAACCCTTGACATAACTTTCTGGTCTCAGGGAACCCCTGTTAAATGACTAGATCTACAATTCATGTAGGTGGTCATTGGGAAGAATACTCCTTACACTTGTGATCATTGGGAAGAATTACCCCCTTATAGATATCCAAAAAGATCAATGGTGTCAGTGGGAACTTACCTGAGAGGCAAATATTGCTCAAGGAACCCCTACCAACCTCTGGAGGAACCTTACGGTTCCATGGAACCCTGGTTGAGAAACCCTGCTCTAGGCTCTTCTGTAGGGATGATTTGTGCTTTGTTCTTATGTACTTTTTTGTTTTGTTTTCTGAATAGTGCATTTTTATACATCGATATCTTACGCACTAACACACAATTCCTCAGTTAGATGTATGGCTTTTCTGCCGTTACTTATGCTGTTCTTCCTTTGAAGCAACATGGTCAACGGACCATTTTGATGCACCATAAGCTTTGTCTTTGTTACAGTTTTTTGAATATGATGTACCACCGCCTCGGCTTGTAAGCTATTGATTGCATGTATTTGTCTGTAATTATGACACAGTTTACATTGTATACTTGGAAAATTCTTCAATAAAAATCTATTGAATGAAAACTGAAGACTAAGTACTCAAGGTTTGGCTAAGTACTCAATTCTGCATCAGGATTCCCATCACTTGGAGTGGTATTCTACTGACTTATACAGGTATACATACTAGCTAAAGCTCATAAACTACCTTTTGCATTTCATCACTGCAGATCTTCTCCAGCCTTTCTTAGCTACTTCATGTTTACATATGGTCGCTCCAGCATTTGCTGAACAATATTGGTCAGTATTGGGCAGGGTGGGCTTCCTGATGATGATGAAAGTGGTGGACCTTGCCAGCAAAATGTGTGTTGGAAAAACTGCTCATAGTCTCCAACAGGGGTGCATTTGATGGGGTGACAACACAGGAGAATATGTAGGAGACAGTTGTCACCCAACCCCAGTAAGTGCCTAAACAAGGGTCTTCATGGCAGGGTCACCAGGCAATCTATTAATATAAGCTGCATCATTAAAAAGATGTAAGACAACTTTTAATATTCCCATGTTAAAACATATATAAAAATAATAACATTTTAGGGATTGGATGCTTTAAAGATTGTTCATCTAATGCAGATAAATTTGAAAACAATTGCTATTCATTCTCATGTTTGTTGCACTACTTTTGTTTTTGTTCAGGACTGAATGAGGAGGAAACTCAGAATCCTATACACTGATATACTAGAGCCTCCTAGTTCTGTTTTGGGCATGTCCCTCACATTGAATTGTTTTGGAAAAGGTGATTACCATGTATTCAATGGCTTTGTTGGGGACAACCTGATGCTGTAACTGCACTAAAGGTATCTAACTACAACACAAGTAAAGTGTTACCTTTTATGAATAGGGGAAATTACCATATAATTGCATTATTACATTACAATAAGTGATCATAGTTTAAAAAAAAGTATTCTATTATTACCATAACATAGGCTAATGAAACTAAAAGCTGCTTTGCTTTGTAGAAGACAAATGAAACATTGCCATTAACATTTTGCTCATGAAGACATCCTGCTTTATGTAAATGATCAACTTTGCAATTGCAAAATAGTTTCCCACTGCAAACAATAAACTCCTCTGTAGCTGTACAAGGCTTTCTGGTGGTTTTTGTTTAGGGGAGTGGGTGGAGTGGTTTGTATACAGACTTTTCTATAAAGAAAAAGGTTGACTTTGTTTAAATAAATATTTACTTTTCGAAATAAATACAAAACACTTAAAAATAATACTTTTAAAGAATAATAAAATAACAAGAATGATTATAATATAAGATAACGGTGATGATTATTTTAGCAATATAAAATAATACTTCTAAATATATTTAAATACTTACGTAATTTATAACATAGCCTAAAGAAAATCAGCCCAGTTTAGAAAAATCAATCACATCAGATTTCCCCTATTATTAAAAGCAGTTATACATGAACAGATATTGATGCACAATACAGTAGACCAGGGGTCGGCAACCTTAAACAGGTGGAGGGTCTACCTGAACAACATGGAAGAAGTCAAAGATCACCGGGCGCAGTGTCACCTTCTCATACCTGATTTAAACATCTAATTGCCACACTACCATGTCACAATTGCGTGCAATGCACGGCAATCATGGGTTTAAATCAGGTGGTGAGGAGGCAACTTATCGCCTCCTCTCCATCTGTCAAACACACTAAGATCACTTTTCAGAGGATCAACAGTGCCTGCTGCACTTGTGAATGAGTCCTTAGTTGCAACTGCTAACGGCACTCTTAGGCTTGTTCACAGGTAAAGTTGGGGGGGGGGGACCTTGTGGTTGAGTCACACCCCCAATCCCTATCCCCTTTAGCTGCTGAGACAGCAACCAAAGGTGTACACATACTGCAGCAAGAATTATACCCCCTGTTGCTTTTGGTGGGTGCTACCGCCTGTCAATCGAGACCCATTCATATAAATGGGGCCACTCTGCAAGTGCCCCACAACGTCATGCTTCTGTGGGATCCAATGGGTTAAAGCAGGTGGTGAGAAAGCCTGTTTAACCCCTTGTTTGCTGTCCTGCACAAGGTTGCAGGGCACTTGTACCACACAAGGTTGCAGGGCACATGCAGAGCAGCCTCTTTCACTTGAATGCAGGGGTGGACTGACCATTCAGGCACTCGGGCACTGCCCGAAGGCCCAGGGTCAGTAGGGGGCCCCATGAGATGCCCCTGGTAGTTTTCATAGGCTTTTTTGGGTGTGGGTTTGAGTGTGGGCAAGGACACAGGGGCCCCATGATCCCCTATTGCCTGGGGGCCCCATGAGTTGTCAGTCCTCCCCTGCTTGAATGTGTCATGCTTGGCAGGTGCTACACCCACCAACCATGACAGGGTGTAAGAGCCAGTACTACAGAGGAGACATCAACTTATGCGGCTCTTGCTCCCTACTACAGCTCCAACTTTTCAAGTAGCCCTTCTGCATTGTACTCTGATGCTCTGGAATAGCGGGTCAGCAAGCCCTTACCGTGATCTACCAGTAGATCTCAGCCAGGTGACTGGTAGATCATGGTTGCTGACCCCCGCAGTATGAACTAACATTTTTCTGTGTTTGTTCTGATATTTATTAAGCAGGTTGGATTTTTTTAGTTGAACCATCACCGAGATGAAAAGAGCACCCCTTCCATCATGCACAGACTTCATACAGGATGGGATCTGATCATTTGTTTTCTGAAGGATCAAAATTCTCTGTATGTGGCCATGTTAAAGCTGGCCATACACTGCTTGAATTTATTCAGATTCCTGCTGGGTTGGCCAAAATTTGAGCTACACTCAACATAAATTGATTTTTCAATAGATATTTGTTGAAGGAGCCTGTTGGAAAACTGTCAGCCAGACTGCCCTGGCATCAATCAGGTACTAGCACTGTTTGGGTATTCCCAGAGATGGCAGCTTCAGCTGTCAGAATGCAATAGCCCAGCAGGTGGGATTCGTCCTTCTGCACTGTTAAGCCAGCCATACATAGATCGAAATTTGTTGGGTTCATGCAGAGTGCATGAGATCAGCACAGGACCAATCAGCACTTTCCAGATAGAGGTTAAGGGGTTCTGCATTCTCCTAGAGCAAAATGAAAACTCCTCCTACAAGCTTTGGCCAGTGCTCAGCTGAACACTGATAAAAGTCACAAGACAGCTCTAACTGCTGATGAGAAAAGGTATTTATCAGTTTATATTTACTAAAATATTTGCACTTCCATGTTCTGTGTACTGTGGGGGACCAGATATAGTCAATGAAGGGTCCTGGATTTAGTAACACTTTAAGAAGTGTGATTCTACTTATAACTGTAATAACCGAATACCAGTGTGTATGGACGTGAAACATTCGCATTCTGG